AAACCGAAAAAACCGAACCGTTTGCCCCACGTCAGCTGATTTTTAAAGATATTACGAAAATATTGCGCATACGCCGGGTGGCAAATCATAGGTTTTAGCCAAAAAAGATATTCCTTGCAGCAGAAAGATTGCAAAAGTGGAGAAAGTGGAATATATTTATCAGAAAAGCTTATCAACATACAAAGGAAATCAAAATTGAAAAACCTTATGTAGCCTAACCAATACATTTTTTTTTATATTTGTCAGAGTTTTACCAAAGAAAGAGTTTTTGCTCGAACCTCATACCTTTGGATCATAAATAAACAAACTTGGATAATATAACAAGAAGGACCCGAACTGCAATTTCCATTTATTTTGAACTGAGTAGTTTCAAGACATTGTCCTCTAGTTCATAGCTCAATCACTTCCCAATGAAATGTTTACCATACGTTTTTGTATTTTACCTTTGTCTAATAACAATTAGATTTGATTACAAATAATTGAGCTGCAGTCTATGAAAAATACTTCTTCAATATTTTTTCTACATTCGAGAAAGAACAGAACCTTAGGCCTCGCACTGAAAAATCAACAGATGTTTAATTTTACAAAAATAGCAATATAGTTTTTCTGAGTAGTACAATTAGGCACTCTAAATATACGATTTCCTGGGCTTTTCCTAGTCGGGTAGATATACATATGAAATTACCATACGCAACCCCTGATTCGTAGCTCCCACAACAACAACAATCGCCAAACCGACAGATACGATAATTCTGTGTCTCTTTCTAAAAGCACAAAATTTGCATATCAAACGCAGCAGAAAAACAACCAAAAAGCAGGCAAAACAGACGCCGCGCAGTCGCCTTTCATAACAACAACAGCAAAAACAATAACAACTAAGGCACATACAACAACTAAAGCAATAACAACTACAACTACAGACATGTAACTAATGCATAGACAATGTTTTCTTCCACTTTTTTTTCTCGCTTTTTGCAAAATTTGCGTATTCTGAACGATACGAAATTAAGTAAATTACAATATTGTACGATGATTGTCGTAGTCGAAGTTGTTGTTGTTGCTGCATTTGCTGTGCTATATGTGCTATATGCTATATTTGCGTGAAATTATTATGGCAATCGATTTGGGGGACCACACACATCCACAGACATCGGGAAAAAGCGACGAAGAAAAATAGTAATAAAACTGGCGATAAAATTATTATTGATTACTCATACGCCGCATGTAACGGGCTAATGAAAACGGGCTAACTGCGATGGGCTTTCTACGAATAATCGATAACGATGACGATGACGCGATCGCCAGTTAGAGATAGCAATAGCCAGCAATTATTTTCGTCATAAGTCAGCCAATGTGGCGACGACTTCTCCTTTCCGCTGCACTCGGCTTTAACCTGAACTCGAGACACGGCTTTCGGCCACCGACGCTGCACTTGCAAAAAATTATTCAAAAGTTGTACAGTTGCAAATGCCAAACCATTTATATACCCACTACTCGTACAGTAAAAATAAAATTTTTTAACAGTAGAAGTGGGATTTTGTTTTTATTATCAATACCCATTTACGTATCACAAACTATTCAAGTCTGAGCATCAAGAGATCAAGTTATAAGCAAATAAAGAAACAGACTCTATGTGGATTGTTCGTGTGGCGTGCAATCTCGGAAACAGCAGATTTGCTGCATGCATATCTTCATCTCTTTCGCACTCCCTTGAGCTGACGGGTAATCTGACGGGTATCTTATAGTCGAGGCCCTCGAATTTCTTATTTATGATTGAAATGTTGATATAAAATAATTTTTATAAGTGCAATAAACAAAAATGCATTAACCAAACTCTTTATTTTAAGCCCAATTTCTTTTTAAAGCCTAAAAATCTAAGAATTTTACAAGCACTAAAATATCTTTTATACAATATCTATTGTCCGTCATACAAAACAATCGATTTAATTGCCTCAAGGTTAAGTGAGTAGAATTTGTTAAATCAAGCAGCGGACCTAGGTTCAATTCCACCTTCAGATTTATAGAAACGTTACGTAAGGTTTAAATTTGATTTTCTGTGAGCACGACTGGGAACTGGATCACAACTTCCCCTTTCCCCAAAATAAAACTTATAAATTGCAGACCATTTTTTTCGAGTGCACTGATGTTGTTGTGCTGGTTTTTTTCGCGCTCACTCGCCTGTGTGAGTCTGCTCAGCCCGCGTACATATATATAATTGTTGCGCTTCGCACACAAGCTTCCAAATAAGGGACGGCACATGTGAGCTGAGGAAGCTATAACTATCGCTGCAGGCTACGCAAATCGGTGGCGTTTCCACTTTCGCATAGATTTCGAGGGAAACCAACGCCTGCCGTCGATTTGAAGTTCAGCCCGTTGATGCAAGCGTCACAAAAGTGGTGCAGTTGTGCCAGGTGGTTGACAAGTCGCCGTCGCCGGTGGCTTTGCTGCCCCGAAAAGCGATCGCCGATCGATGGCGGCGGATGGTGGATGTGGATGTGGATGGTGGCGACCAGGAGTCGGCTGTCGTGCAACATATGGCAGCGATGACAACGCATGTTAACAGCTTTTTAAAGTCGTTGCAACACATCTGGCCGGGCAAAACGGCAAGAACAATAACACAATTCCCAGGCCGATAAGCCCAACGAATCGATGTTAATGTATATATACGATGTTTATGTGTATCTTTAACCCCGCGTGCCACAAAGGCTGCCAAATTTGGCTGCAATCCGATATGAAATGTCCCAAAACTGCAGACAGGAAATCTCACGCGTGCCACCATCGCGGCAACAGCGGCAACATCGGCTCACTGGAGCGGATGGAGATGGAGATGGAGATGGAGTATATTATCCAAAAATGCGGTCTGGCGTGCCTTTGAATTAAGGTATCGATTTAGCCTGCGGTCGTTTGGTCATCCCAGTCCGTCAGTTCAGTTCAGTTCGGTTCAGTCATTTTCATTCATTGTTGGCGCGCGCTCATTGTTGGTGTGAAATTTAGCACAACAGCAACATCGGCCACTGCAGCAGCAGCAGCAGCAGCAGCAGCAACATCGGCACACAGCAGCAACATCGCAACATCGCAACAAGTGGCTCTGCGGTTGCAATGAATCCGCATAACAGACATACAACAAACAGACGGACTGAGACTCTTAAAATGCGGCAAAATATTTCTTACTCGGCCACTTTAGCTGCCAGCTTTAAAAATACTTTTTAAATGCGCCGAAGCATGAAGTCAGCCCTGCTTTCAACGGATACGCACAGGATCAAGTGTTATAAATGTTAATTCGCAAATAATTGCAGCGAAGGCTTCGAAAAAAGCCTCGTTGTCTGGGATGGCTTAATCGCTGCCAATCAGACGATGAAACTAAGGTTGCGAATTACTTTACCCAGAGTTTAATTGAAAATTTATGGCACTTTCATTAGCGCCCAGGGGAAATTGTATAGTAGTACTAGGTTCTGCACCATCTTTCAAGTTTGAGAAGCGTTGAAAATATATATGATTATATATATATGTATCATAAAAGTTGTGTGGATTTCAACATTTGATTTTATTGTGGGCAGGAAATGAGCTGAACATCGATTGTTGTTAACTTTTGTTAACCGTGCGGACTGTGGGTAGAGTCGGCTTTTGCCCCGTTTCATGTGGGAAGTCCGCGTGTGCTTCATTATATAATGAATTGGAATTGGAATTGGAACTGGGAGATGGGCACAATCACTATAGCACGTAGCAATCGCGAGCAAAACAAACCAGCCAGCTCAAAGTTTTGCCCAGAATTTATGACAACGCATGTGTTTTCCACTTTTAAAGTACAGTTTGTCTGGAGTTCTTTTTACGGAACTTGCTATCAATTCAGATGTGCAAAAAGGTAGAGCAGGAGAAAAGTTTATAATCATTCAAGAAAGTTTGGACAATATATGTCAACTCTTTATTGGCTTGTTATTTGGAAAATCTTTGAAAACCATTAACTAAACAAACAACTAGAAGCGAAAATCTGGAATAGGTGCATGGAGATAAAAAAAACCTTTTTAGGAATTTATAAACTTTTTTGTTACTACTATTGTTTTAAGAAAAGAAAACATTTTCTTAACTGCCTTTCTAACGTAAGTGAAATTTTAAAGATATTTTATTATTATCCAGTAATATATTTTGTGAAAAAATGTCAAATGATTTGTAGGGAAACGAATGATAGTGACTTATTTAAATTTCATAAATAACCAAACAATTCGAAGTTATGAGAGGTATCACGAAAATAATTTTGATCTTCAAAAACGTATAGCTGTAATGCGTTTTCCACTAGTTAATTTCTAGTTACTTTATCCCAACCCTTCCTGGCACAATTAGGCAAACGTCTTCATAGAAAAATCCACACTCTATGAGGCAACCAGACTCGAAAAAAGAATCATTCCCAGCCATAAATTGGTCAGTGAAGCGGAGCTGCCTTTGCCTATATAAGTAGCTATAAAGCGGGGAGCGGTACGGCGAAAAGGCCATAAGTTTCCTCCAAATCGCTGCCTCCGCCACGCTCCACTGAATGGGCGTTGCATTGGGCGTGGCTCGGCGGCGCTAGAAGAGCCATGGAAAAAGGGGCGGGTGGCGGGGCTGGGAGGGAAGGTCGCAGAGATTTCGACGTGGATAGCCAAGAATTTTGATTAACTTGGAAAATCATTGGAGTAAGTCGGCGGGGTTTGGGATTGGGAAAGAAACCACTGAGGCAGATAGACTCCAAAGCGCACAATGTACGCGTTATTTGTTTGCATTGCGGCCCAATAATTGCTTAACTAAATGTGAGTCCTGCTGAAAGGCCAAAAGCGCCTCGTTAAGGTCTCAGTCTGGCTTTTAAATAATCACAATGAAAGCAACAGGGCCAAAAGCAAGACAGGCCAACTCGCAAAAAGAAAAAAAACAGAGGGGGGAAAAAAAAACAAAACCAAAACAATACAAAGAAATACGAAACGAAAGAAAAGAAAAAACGCTCACAAATTGTCATTTCTTAACCTTTTCAGATTGCGAAGGCGGCGGCAGCGGCGCAGAAGCAGAAGCACCAGGAGTCGGAGGTTCCAAGTTGCCAATGGCCAGTGGCCAAGTGGCCAAGTATCCAAGTATCCGAGTCGCCAGAAGTTGCCGACTCACAATGTGTGTGCGCAAAGGCTTTAAGAAATGCCGAATTCCAGAAGCTGCAGTACAATCAGTTGAATTAAAAAACGAGCGCACAGACAGTGGACGACGGCTGGATGGGATTCGGATTCGGATTGGGGATGGGGTTTCTGGGGGCTCTGGAGGATCGCCGGCGATATCATCGCGTGGTGAGCCCGCGCTCACTAGGAAATTAAGAGGACATTGTGGCGGCATGCGGTTAGAACTCGCTGCGGCGGCTTAAACACAAAATCCGCAGAGGAGATTCCTTGGGTTCCTGCGTTGTTGGTGGCTTTTGGACAGCTGGACGCTGGCTGACAGAGGTCGCCCTCGTACGTAATCGACGAGCATTGCAAATGCTTTTGTCCTCCGCCTGCGTCTTGTGCTGCGCACGTGGCCATGTTGCAGCCGCAGCAGCAGCAGCAGCAGCAACTTGCAACAGCAGCAACATCAGCAGCAGCAGCAGCAACAGCCAAACAGCAAATCATTGAAATGTCGTTAGAGGCTCGAGCGGCACGCAGCTTCGATAGTCAGCGAAACCGCAAAATGCTTTTAATTTCTCAAACTGATATGCACCCGTGCTCCCACTGGCGTGGAGGAAAAGCTGGGCCAGAGGTTCAGTTTGGCTTGTTTCTTTTAGATTTTGCCTGCTGGTAAAGACCAATGATGAGGTATTAAGAGGGTAGGGATCAGAACATTTGTTTTGATCAGAAAACTTGACAAACTCAACTATGAACTCAAGGATTTCCTTAGGGAACTGAAATTTTACTGCTTTATCAGGAAGTAACAAGTTTGAAGAAGAGTATCCCATAAAAAGAATTGAGTTTTTAAGTGAAATGTATAAGTTTATGTTAGGAACCATAGCTGAATCGCCCATTAAAGTCTAGTCAAATCAGACCATTTTAAAGAAAATATATGAAGTTGTCTGGAGAAAATGAAAATATTTAGATTGGAGTAAGTTGACAATAAAATAATCCATGTATTCTCAATCCATAAGTTTAAAGACAAGAAAATGATCAATAAGAATTTATAAGAGTTGTAAGTAAAATGTGTTCCAAAAAACTTCTGTCAATTCCGATAATATAATATTATAATAATATCTCCTAAGTCATGTCAACACTAGGAAACGCAAATTAAATTTTGAAATAAATACGAAATCATAAAAGCCAACAAACTTGCACCTTTTTTACTGGTTGGTCTTCGTGGGCGGTTCAGATGTTTAGATGATGATGCGCAGGTGAGCGACCATAGAAGGCAATCTATGTAGCCAAGACACCCGCGCAGACTGATGGATCGTACTCTCGATGGGATCCAGATATATATAGGCAAGTATACATATATAATGTGAGCCAGAAAATGTTGGCAAACAGCAGAGCGTACAGCCCACTGCAAGTCGGCAATTAACCTTGGCTGGACAAAGAGTTGGCGGCGGCAGAACGACCTACAGCAGCAGCGGTTCGAGTTATGGATTTTATTTTATCAGTCAGCTGGCAGTCAGCTACCAGCAACGACTACACAGGAAATAAATTCGACTTGAAGCCACTCAAATAATATAAAATATTTTTGTTGAAGTGCAATTATCTTTTCATCAAATCTCTAAAGCAGGTGGCTTAAGCCATACTTTTGTTCGGTAGTAAATATTTTGTGTAACCCTCAAAAGATGCCAAAGATATAAAAAGGTCTTAGCTGAATATTTCCCTTCATTTTCAGTTACATATTAGCATTTTTCTGCCTGTGTAGAGCAACAACTGATGACCTGAGCCGGCGTTGGTGTCACACCCACAACATTTTGGCTTTCATTCATCGGCCCATGCTGAATGGAAAAACTGAGTTGAGTTTTCGGATGGGGATGGGGCAGCCAGAGGGGCTGAGTCGAGCGGATTGGGGCGGGGATCGTGGCACACGTCATCGGGGCAGCCAAGAGGCCAGTAGTGCCTACGCCAAAGCTTTTGGCATTGAAAAGTACGAGCCACAAACGCGATTTGCATGCCAAGTCGAAAGGCGAGAGAAAACCGAGGGGAACTCACTCACTGACTGACTGTTGGTGCATGACGAGATTCAATGGTGGCTCTGATCGATTTATGAACTCGTCGCCAGCATTGTTGTCATGACGTCACAAGCCCCCGCGGCCAAAAAACTCTTTCATTCGGGGTCGGGTCTCTATGGGGAGAAGCGGAAGCTCTTTGCAACATCGAAAGGAAAACAGAAACACACAGATATATCGAAATCACAAATTCATTCATGGAGAGCCGACCCACTCGCCAGTTTTGGGATTATTAGTGGCTAGTGTGTAGGCTAGAAACTAGAAACTATAAACTTTGGGTTCGGGCTTATCGCGGTGCTCTTAACCTTGCTCTTGAAACAGCTGGAAATATGTTTGGGTTCTCCGGTTTTTTTTTTTGTATCGTTTTCCTTTTTATTATTTTATAATATTGCGCTAAATAATATATATATTTATATTTCTTTTGTATAGATACTATTTTGTGGTTGTTTTTTAAACATATTTTTTGATGGCTTATTCGGTAAATTGCTTTAGGGTTATTCGATTTACGTCTTTTGTTTTGCTTCGGCGCAGTGCACGATCTATTAAATAATAAATTTAACTAGTATTAAAGAAATTACTCGGCCTTTTGTTTGACAGAAAATGTGTGTTTCGGTAATTAAATTATGTGTGCTTGTCGAGTATTCTCTTTAACGGAGTAAAAATTAAGTAATAAATTAAATGTAAATTGCCTTTGATGTGAGCGAACTTGCTTTGAGCTGTTTTTTAATTTGGTATTTAAATTTAGATGTACAATAAATATTAGTAGAAAGAGCGAAACAAGCAAACAGCTCAAAGGTGAGTAAGTAGCGGTTATGTTGCACGGAATAATTTGGAACTTGGAAATTGGCACTCATTTTGAGCGATTCGTCATGCAACATCCAATTAGTAGGTGTCAATAAAAGCCAATTGGATCGATCAAATAAACATAACTATAGAGTGGTAAATACTACTAACATTAAGCTAAACGAACCCGGAAAATACGCTTAAACTTTACGGAGCACGCTCATCACACACGCATCATCACACTCTCTCACACTCAGGAAAATGGGAAATGGAAAACGGCCGCCGGCGCATTCGACATTTGTTTCATATTTATTTGCTATCAACTTGTTTTAACTAAGTTTCGTAAACGCACTGGAGCTGTTTACCCTTTAGACTCTGTACAGCAAATCTTTACGGAAAGTTTCCATCTAGTTGTGTATGGTATTGCACTTATGGCTTAAAGTTTTAACTTTAAAGGACTAACTAAAGCAGTCTCGGCTGTGTCTCGATGTGTCTCTAGTGGTTTTATAGAATGGCACTGGATTGGAAGCTGCAGCTGATGCACAATTGAACTATTGCTATGGGATGTGTGGGATGTGGGGCGTACGATGTACTTGGGAGGAGCTGTAGCTTTGCTATGGCACAGTCGCCTTTAAGTAAGAGTCTTGACTAGTATACAAAAAAAATGTAAATTACACAATTACAATTAATAAAAAACACAAAACACTGCGATCTGCGATAAACAAGAACAAAACGAGCGGCGAGATCGTATTGGCCATGGATCCGAAATACGAAATACGAGTATCGAAGTTCGATCAAGCCATTTGCTGCACTTTGGATCTGCTAAACATATATAAACTGCTGTCTAACTAACTGGCTTGGTTTTTCTGCGGGAAAACGTCGAGGATTGGTGTTTTGGTAAAACAGAGTTTCTACCCAATAAAGCGATAAAGAATATGGTGAGGGTTCTATACTTTTTTGCGGACTTATGGAACTTTGTTACTTGCTTCTGGCTTTACTTTCATAGTCTTATTTTGATGCTTCTTGAACAAATTTCATAGTTTTACGATATTTGTTTGCTTTAGAAAGTGAATTTAAAATAAGTCCAGATATAAAAAGTATGCAAATAGTATGAATCTAAAGTGAGTTTTAAGAATTTTTAGCTCTAGGCACCACAGAAATACATTTTGAATTTAAATCTGAAGCAAAAATCAATTATTTGTGATGAGTACAAGATTCTGTGAAAGTAAAGACCAGAGTACAAGATCTAGCACATTATGGAGTCCTATGAGCCTATGGTAAGTTCAGGAACTGACACTGAAAGCTATAGCCTGAAGGGGATCACCTCCCCCTTCGCTCTCCCCGCACCAACCAAGTCCCGGATATTGCCTAGAGAATCCTGGCCAGAAGCCTAGCGCTGCGCATGCGTGTGCGACATGTGCGAGTGCGTCGAATGCGGCGGCGGCACGTGCGGCACGTGGGCGTGGTGCCCATGTCCGCCGTATTGGGCGTGGGAAAGGGGCGAGGCCTGGCCACCGCTGTAGCCCGACTGCATCAGGCTCTGCTCGAGGCTGTAGTGCGAGGGCGGCGCCGGCGGGTGACCCAGATGAGCGTGCCCGTGATGGCCGTATATCAATTGTCTTACTTTCGAGTCCTCGTCGGCGATGTTGTAGCTGAGCTCCGTCTCCTCGAATCCGGTGGCCGACATCCGCTGGTCGCCGCCACCGACGCTGGGCGGATCCGGCGAGTTGAGGCAGGTCTGGATGAGCTGCTTGCCCGCCTCCGAGGTGATCATCGGCTGCAGCTTGCGCGTGGCAAATGTGTACACGTGGCCCGTTTCGCTGGCCACCAGCAGCATCACCTGCGTCCCGGTCAGCGTGGACAGCTCGTAGGCCTGCAAGCAAAGAGGGAGAGCAGAGGATCGTGTTAAGTACTCGATGCTATCGGAATAGGAATCGGAATCGGTATCGGGTACTTGCGAGCCAACTGGCCAGGCAGACTGGCGAGGCGTGTGTTGCCCGAGCGGCACATAAATTTACCCCACCAACTATGCGATTATGTTGCAGCGATAAGAAGCGTTAAGCGGGACCTCGAATGTGCCGGACTTTAAATTACCAGAGATGGCAGCGTGATCTGGGAAGTTTGGGTTGATATACCAAGTAACCCATAAGCTCAAACCTAACTGCAAACTATAATATTCAAAGAATATATTTGATTTCTTGTACCCAAAAGGATTAATATTGATTTTTTCCTGACAAGGTAAGTTATTACTTGTTATATTAAAAATTTAAATAGTATTGAAATCAAATAGCTGTGACATTATAAGTACGGTTACATCTATCTATCTGACTCAACAACAAAAGGATTTTTTGTATAATTTGATGAGCATGAAATTTGTCGTTTAGATGAGAAATATTGTATTTAGTAAGCCCCTAATAAGTTATTTTTAAAGACTTCTGTTTTTTTTCTTTTCAGTAACGCTTCTTGTTTTTTTTTACGCTTTAAGCTCTTAATGACTTATTAACCCATATCACTTTTATTAGCCCCCTACACAATCGTATATGTTTTGTAAAACATCCCTAATCTGTAATAAACCCAAGTAGATCACGGCAAGCCCATTTCGTATGTCTATGCCAGAGAAGTCAGTAGGTCCGGACCCTTCATTCCCTTTCATGTTTCTCAGGACGCCCACGCAAAAGACCCGAAAGTCACGCAAGCATCGCGATGGAGCTCCATGGTCGATACTCGCATCACCTCCCCGGACCAAGTTTCTGTACATTAGATGGTAGACGGTAGCCTAAGCTGCCTATCAACAGCTCGTAATTACTATAAAAGCGATAAAGTCGCTGTCGGTCTGGCGGGCAAAACAGTTTTTGCTACTTTTCCGCCACTTTTGCTGCCGTGAGTCGAAAAACACAGCGCATAAATAACTGGCGGACCAAGAAGCAAAAGCAAACGCTTCGGGAACATTTATTAATATTAATGAAATTGTTGTACACATTGTTGGTCGGATTGCGATGGGGATTGGGTATTGAGTATTGGGGATCGCATAGGATCGTATCGGATCGGATTGGATTGGATGGGAATGGGATGGGGGTTAAACCCACTCCATCGATTGGCTGCCAATTTTATGTGTAACATGTGTAAATGCAAACAATTGACACGGTCCGAAAGCGGAATCTGAATCGGATTTCGATTATTCTCGTTCTGATTCCGATTCACATTCTGAATCTGATTCTGAGTAGGTGTCGATTGTGTGCCTAGGTAGCTGCCCGCGTATCCGCGAACAGGCCAACAATTCATGTCAATTTGAATTTCGAACAAAGACAAAAGGACACGACTCGGGATTGGGGCGAGGATTGGGGTACGAAAGCGTTGACAGGACAAGAAGGCAGCCCCAGAGACCGCGGGCTGTTCCGTCCAGATGGAGAGTCATTTGTTAGAAGCCGATTGTTGCCTGTTTTCGTTGCCCCCCCTTACATATGTGTTGCCCCTTGTGTTGTAGAGGCAACAACAGCCTGTTGCATGTGGCCAAAAGGCGAGCCGACTTGGAGCCTCTTGGCCCGGCTTTCTGGGGCTTATCTGGGCACAATCTGCCGACGCGGCTGGGGCTTAAGCTTCCGTGCTGGAAGCTGAAGGCTGGAAGCTGGTCCCCCCAAAAACAAACAATTCCCAAGCTCCAGCCCAATCCCAAGCCTCGTGATTTCAATTTAACACCTTTTGGCGGCATTTTGCGCCCGTGTGCCCTTTTAACCATGGCCAATTGTTGGGAACTTGTCGATGGCTTGTTCGATGGCTGTGCATTATGCAGAAGCCAGAAGCGAAAGCCTCGGATCGATGATAATGCGGCCCACGCAATTAGGCTGGCCAGCAAATGAGATCACTTCTGGACATTAGCTCACTTTTCACTCTTGTGGCCTTTTTTGGCCCCACTGCCACCCACGCGAAAAAGCGTCCCCAGATCGTCTTGGCCAGATCGAAATGACCAAAATTGGCCAGTGGAAAGCATGCCAACAGGTTGGCGCGACCACTCTCTGGGCCAAGTTCATTGGCCGCAATTTGTTGGCCGGTAGGGTTGGTGGATGTCGTATGGCGTATGGCGGATTGCAGATTGCCTTTGCCTTGCTCTGCGCTTTTTGCTGCCACCGCTGGTAGCGCCAAGTCGAAATCCCATTGTCTGCCTGTCAACTGTCCGCCGGCTGGACATCGATGAGGGACCGCATCAAAGTCACCAAAATGATATTTTTTTTGGAGCGCATATAGAGGCGGCCTTTTGTCCCGGGCGTGCGCCTGTCATAAGTTTCGGCCCCCGAGAACCACAATCTCGGGTGGGGGAACCCACGTCCCAGGGGTCAAATGTTTTGGATACCCTAACCGATGAAGCAATGCCTTTTTGGTATCAAATAACCTTTGAATAAGTGCTGAAGTGGAATAAATCTAGCACCTTATGTGTAAAGTTGCGGTGCAACTACAGAATCTAAATTTGCCTCTTAAAAAATGATAAAACATTTTCTTTGCATAATGAAAGCATCTGCAAATAGTAATAAACTATTTAGCAAATTAATTGAGCTTCTTAATATGTATATATATTTTTACTACGAATGGAAACTAAGAAGGTATCTACCACTTTAAGGGCATCTTTTGGTTGTTTTACAAAATCTAAAAGTATCTATAAAGCAAAAAAATATGTTCTTGATATATATATTATTACTTCTAATCCTATTCTGAGTGTACTTAAAGCTTTAAAGTTTAAACTTTTTTTATATTCCCCTTTTGATTTTAAGAGCTCGTACGTTTTTGTTTCGTTGGCCTGCTTGGGTCAAATATTTCATAAGATTTTGTGTCTTGGGCAAAGATCGTGCTGAGATCGTGATTTAGCGCCGCGATGTTGATGCTTTTTTGTCTGATTTTGATCGGGGGCTTGGTTTAGCTAGTGGCCAGGGAAGTCTATTTCAAAAATGTGAAAAATTTCATATGCGGCCCCGCAGATCGATGGAAAGCAGCAGGAGCAAATGCAGTGGCATTATGTAAGTTTGCGTGTGAAAATTGGTCATTTGAAAATGCCAAGGCACTGGCCACATTGCAGCGAGTGGGCCAGAATCCGCAAGGAGCACGCATCAATTGTTTTTGGGGGAGGAGTGGCTGTGGATGTGGATGTGGATGCGGATTGTGGGCTGGCAACTGGTGGGCAGCCTCCTTTGAATGCAATTGCGGCGGCAAATTAACATTTTATGAAGCCGAAAACAAAGGGAAACGCGGAATCGTGGGCTACCGCGCTTACACAACGCCGCCAAAGCCACCAAACAGTTGGCTTGAACAGACGCGATCTGGCCAAAAAGCAGAGGATCTGCGGCTACTGTTCTAGAGACAAGCGAGAGAACTTCGCGGGCACAGTGGTTGTAGTTCGAATTTAGAATTAAAATAAAATATTTGAGATATGATCTATTGATATGCAATAATTGCAATGATGTCTTGAAATTAAATTAGAAATTTGGGGTTTTATGTCTTGAGCACATACTGACACTAAACTTTTAAAAAGAAAGGAGTGGTTTTAAGTTTATAGATCAGTTTTGTTTTATTTTTAAGTAGTTTTGAGTAAGCGTTGATTCTTTTTTTTTCAGTTTTATATAAGATCTCGTTGTTTAAGGTTTCTTGAAAACGAAAAGTTTGGTTATAAGTTTGCAAAAAAGTTCCATTAGCGTTCCGAAAACAGTTTTTAAGTTGATTTCTTTTTCTACTTAAAACTAAAACTAAGTCTTAATATGAAACAAACTAAACTGATCTCTAAAGTGACATGATAACCAATAAAGTTAAGCTGAAATTCCTATTTGTCCCGCAAATGTTGGAGATATCATGGTAGAATTTGTTATAATTCATTGCCATCTGTTATCATTTTAAGAAACTGTTTTAAAGTTTTGAGTTTGTATTGATATAACGTTCCCTGCAAGGTCGTTTCGATAAGGAAATCTAATTGGATTCCTTAAGGATTCTTTTTCCCCAGTATTCCTGTGGAATCCCCGCTATCCTCACCACTGTGCCGATGGCCAGATGACGATAAATCCCCGCTCTTACTGGAGGGAGAACAATGCCAGAGTTCTAAGGGGAACTTTTGGATTCCGTCGCAACCGAATCCCCGAAGCATTTATTAATTGCACATGCGCTGGAAACGTGGCCAAATGTCAACATCCCAATTGCAGCGCCAATCGTGGTTGGGATGGGGATGGTATAGGAATGGTATAGGGGTACTCCTGCCGATCTTACCTTCTTCATGATGCCCGTTTTGCGCTTGGAGAAGGTCGTGTAGCGACGCAGCTTGTTGTCGATGTATTCCATTTTGATTTTGACACGTCCCTTTGTCTTTTTGCCGTTGGCGGGTGGAGACTTCTTATTGGGCAGTGGGTTGTAGCTGTCCACGCCATCGTCCACGGCTCCGCTGGCCACGCCATCGAGTCCTTGGAGGGTGAGTCCGCCGGAGGATCGATGGTGATCCTCGTAGCAATCGCTGCCGGATCGCTTGAGACCCCTCTGTTGCTGTTGCTGTTGGGGATGTTGTTGCTGCTGCTGCTGCTGATGTTGCTGTTGCTGCTGCTGTTGTTGCTGCTGCTGCTGCTGCTGTTGGGAGGCGTGTTGTGGGCTGTGGAGCGTTTGGCACTGGGTGGCAGGGGGTGCTCCTCCGCCGCCGCCAGCGGGATTTGCCCGCTGCATGGGCGGCACACCGCCCATATTCTGGAGCAGCCCACCCGAGGGCGGACGACCCGCCCCCAGGGCGGGATTACCGTACATATCCGCCGGATCCGCCAGACTCAGCCCAATACTACTCATCGAGTAGTTGAGATTGTAGCGCGAGTCACCTCGCGTCGGATCCATTCTGAGGTAAAAGTTCTCCACCGTGGAGCCGTAGAAATCCAAGGCACCGCGCGCGTCTATTATTGCGTTTGGGCTTTCTGGCCTGTGTGAATATCTACTGAAATCCGGCCGCGGCACACTTTTCCGATCGGATCTCTCTCGCTTTATATTCCAAAAATAAAACTACACAGAAAAACACACAACGCGCGCGTTTCGCTGGCGCTTTTCTTAGGTTTTTTTGCTGCGACGGCGCGTTTCTGGGGCGGGTTTTTTGTGGCCGGCTGCCTGGGGGCCAAGTTCTTAGCCCGCAAAACGGTTAGCAACCCGGGTTTTCGGCCAGGAACGCGATTTTTGTTAAGTTTTTAGTGCAACGCCGACGTTTTGCAACACGCACACACGCACACTCGCACACACACACACAGGAGAGTTGACAGCTGACAGTCCTGCAGTGTTGGAATGTGTCGGAAAGCCAGGGATGCAGCGCTCGAGTGTTGCGAAGTGAGGCGGCTTGGCGGCAAATTTAAATTTAATGGCGCAAAGTGGAGTTTTTCTTCGTGGCCAAAGTTCTTGATCCTTTTTTATGGCTTTTAGTTTCTGTATGGCTTTTTGTTTTAACTTAAATAGTTATTTTATTTGATTTAATTAGAGTTGTTTTCTTTCATTTGTGGTGTTTTATGAAATTTTAAGTTGCTTCCTGATTTGTTGAATTTTCTTATAGCGTTAAATTAGTTCAAAGTTGATTGAAGTCCTTTTTTTGTTGAGCAGATTTACTAAATTCTTCCGCGAGTTGCAATGTTTTTTTGCAGTTTATTAAGTTTTGTTTTATGTTCTGACCGTTTTTGTAGGTTTATCATTGATGTTTTTACTTTCCTTTTTTTATTTCCTTATTCTGCTTCCTTTGATTGCTTTTCGTCTTTTTATGGCCTTTTAAATTAATTAAATTTAAGGTTTTGTTCTTGTTGATTTCCTCTTGAGTCTTGTTTTAATTTCCTTTTTTCTTCAAACTTATCGCAAGTCTTTTTGTAAAAAAAATCCTTTTGAATTTGTTTTGATTTCGTTGTTTCCGTGCAGTTATGGGAAATATTTGTGCTTTTGTTTGTTCCGTATGCGTTGCATTTAGTTTGCTTGTTGCTTATTTGTCGCTAGGCACTTGTTTGGACTGTTTACTTTATTTGTGGCGATTTTATTGTGGTTCATTCCAAATACGATTCGAAACGATTCGACGGTCTAAACTGAGCTAAACTTGCGATCGATGGCTGGCAACGTTGTTGCTCAGATGGCGTACAAATACCTAATAAACTTCCACCGACGATGTTCGTTCGATATTCCAAACTTGGGCCGACCGGTTCTCTCTTTTCGAAAGAGACCTGTTGCCTTCCAGCTCTCTTCGATCGGGGGAAAGAGCATTGGGTATATAGAAAAAACCCCCTTATTTATTCGTTTTTTCCACTGCTGTCTTTCATTTTGCAGAGGCGGCTGGCTTTATGGCTTAATTAATTAGATGGCCACGCCCCCATATGCATACTCATTCGCTGCGCATGCGCAGTGCGCATAGATCGGGGATTTCGATTTCGGTTTCGGAAGAAAAACATATAGTACTTTTGGCTCCTCCCCCTTGAATCACTTTGTGATTGTGGGTTTTGTAATTACCTGCGCAGCGCCATTTTAACGTGCTTTTCGCTTATCATCTCTGTTAATTTAGTTAATTTGTGATTTTGTAATTTCTTTTTTTATTTGTTTTTTGAGATTTTACAGCCCCGTCTCTTGCGGGCATTTCAAGTCCCCACTGACAATAACAACAAGAACCACAAAAAGCGATACACTTAAACTATGCCAGGAATTTTTTAGCCCCGGCCAATATGGTCAGAATGCTCTAGAGGATTTGCGTGGTGGGCCCACTTGTACACAGGAGCACGAGTATTTCGCCATGTCCTTAAATAGAGGTTCGCAAGAAAATTCTGCAAGGCGATCGCCGGGGGGCGGGGGCGGCAAGGTGGGCATGGCCACGTGCAGTGACTAACAGATAGCCAGGAGATATATAGGAAAGTCAGATAAATCGATACACTCACTTCTCCACTCCACTCCACTCCACCGATCCCCGAGCCGATCCGAAGATCGAAGATCGAAGATGATGCATTCCCCCGGCTGCAAATGGTCATCGTTGCCTTTTCCAGCCATCGGTGTCGTTGTCGCCAGCTTGTCTCTTCCGCGAATAAGCCAGGTCTTCAGGAGCAGGGTCTCGGTCTCCGATTCCAGGATGAGGACCACATCCACATCCAACCACAACCAGCAGCACAGCCCTCCGCCTCTTGCATTTAATTAGAATGAAATATAGAAACTCGATGGTTTGTCTACCTGCCCGGGCTGCCTAATGATTTAAATTAATCATAATGACTGTCAAAATAGAACGTTTGCCGCTGGCAACGGATCATATAAGGATCGATCCACGCAGCGGGCACCCGGTCCTCGGACTTGGGGTTCATCTGCCTCATGGGCACTTAGGAAAAAAGGGTGATACTCAAGTTGTACTGGGTATTTTTTTTATTATTTATAAATATAGGTATTTAAAACGTGTTAGTTTAATATGGGTTTTGTTTTAAATTTTAGTAATAGAACACCTAGTTCTTAAAGACTAGAGATAGTATTTGTTTAGATCTGAATAATATACAACGTTCCATGCATATAAGGATTGGCTATCACAATCTGTTAGCAATCAACCTTTCTTAATATACAAACCAAAATATATCAATTTACAATGATGATTCACAATTGGGATGATCCCCGAAATTATACCAAGAACTATAGTAGAATGTCCATTGATTATTGAAGAAAGTAGGGATAATTAATTTAATTACAATTTTTATTATCTTCACTTGATAGCAGTTAGTATAATGTGTATCCTATCTCTCAAACATTTTGCAATATTGTAATAGAACCTTTTTTTTTAAAGATCTTTTTACATTGAATTTACATTACATTACATTAGTTTAGATTATTATAATCCTAGCTTATACGTTTTAATTTATGGGACTATATACTATATAAAATTAAATAATACATTTTACCAGTTGGATTGATTTAACCCAGTTAAATCTATTAGCTTATGATACTAAATAAACTGTTTTAAGAGCTTTAAACCATTTTCCCGAGTGCATATCGATGGTGCTCCTTGTCCTGCTGACATTTCATCATACTCACACGGCCTGGCTTGTTGGCTTGTTGGCCTGTAAGTCTGGTCTAAGGTTCTCACAATTGTAGACGCGTTCTGTGCAGCGCTTACTAATTGGTTAGTTGGCTGCAGGCTGGGGTTTTCAGCGTCTTCAGCCCGTGGTCCACCACCATCCAGATCCCCTTTCTCCGCCCCTTTCTCCAGCTGGATTCTGGTGGCTCCAGTGCGGCTGTCTTTCTAGGCGATCGTCAGCCGAAGTCAGCCTGTCTGGCCGAGAACTCTTGGCTAAAAGGCCTCCTGGCTCAGCTGGGAACAACTGCAACATGCTGTATTTTTTGCCATCGGATTTTCCACGGAATTCTCCTCAGCTGAACATTTCTAATACTTAATTATTTGCCAGCGTTCGCTTGCCGTTTTACGTGCATTTATTTCAGATATGGAGAGGCTGCTCCTGTTCCTCAAATTCCCCATTACGTAATCCTTCAGAGTTCACCTTCAAAACGGTGGACAGATCATCTTGGCATTCCTGTGTAGGCAAAGGTATAGGTATATTCCCGAATATATTTATAACTTAAGAGGAACGGTTTGTTCCATTTACGATTTCGAACAACTTTTTGATTTTGCAGCTAGCCATAGCCGCATATGTGTATTTATATGTATATATAGACTTTTTTACTATTTATAGCGCTACTTGGGCATTTGCCTTAAGCCAAAGCCAAAGTGTTTTAAATAGTCGAAATATGTAAATTTCTGTTTAGTCTTTTTTAGCAGAATCATGTGGGAAAGTGTCTGCAAGATGTTGGGTTAGGATTTTGATTAAAGAAATAGGCTTTGATCGTATTTCAGTAAGAAAGATTTTGCAAGGCTTAGAAAAGATTAAATGCATTATAATCGGCAACAAGCATAGGGGAATCTTATGAATATATTGCAATGATAAATATAAAAATCACCACACCAAGTAAAGTAAAATTAAAGTGAAAAGTAAAGTAAAAAGTAAGATAAATTGAGTTCCGTTCCAAGAGGAGTTCCGTTCCTTTAGATGCAACTCAAGATTTAAAATTCAATTTAGAAACTTGTGTACAACATTTATCAATACAATAATATCCTAAAAAGAATAAATTTTTCTCTTCAAAAAACGCAAGTGTTTTCGAAAATGAAACAATAAATGTTATATGGCACATGCAATTTTATAAATCATAAAGAAATATATTATAACCAGAAACCATATAGCCTATAAAAACTGCACCATCAAACAATTATTTAAAAACAAAATCTCTTAAAAGTCTTAAAAAAATAAAATCTATTAAGAGTCGATACACAATATTAAAGGTGTAATATCAAATTAAAAACTAAAGACATGCAAGAGGCAAATAAAAGTGTAATAAAGCAAAAACACAACGACCAATCCCCCCAAGTGCTATTTAAAATAGAAAATCTATTATCTGAAAAACAAGCTAGTTGATTTACACACTCAGACTAGCGAGCGCACTCCTTATACAGATGGGACTCAAGATCGAATGAATATATCTGATTGAATATAAGAACGTGGCACATGTGTGCGATGCATGATCGCCAGAAACTCAGAGACTGAGAAACTCAGGTGTCTAATTGGGCGCTGGGGTGACAATGAACCACTTAACCAAGCCAACTCCATCGCACTAAGCCAAAGCCCAGAGATTGACAAAAGCCGGCAGAGAAAACCGCCAACGCCAGCTCAAAAGTCGAACCAATTGGCAATTGGTACAGGCGATCCGAATGTTTTTTGTTTTTGTTGTCCAGGCTCATGAATAACGCATAAGATTGGTTGGGAATCGGAATCGAAATCAGGATCGGGCTCTTCGCTCCTGGCTGCCTTTCGAAGGGGCAATTGTCTGGCCGTTTGTGTTACAATTTAAATAAAATTGCGGCTCCCTGGGCGAAAACAAAAGGAAAAGCAGACATCACTTGGGGTTTTCGAGTCTGAGTTTTCGGGTTTTTGGTTTTCTTTTGGGGCGAAGTGCAAGTACCGTTCTGGCACAGGAAACAAAAGCACCGCTACAATCATAAAACGATTAACAGGTCGTGACCGTTTCACCTGATTACCGGATTACCGGTAGTCCAGCTCATTTGCATTCACGGCGGTCACTCTTTTCACGGTGACAAGTGCAGGAAGTTCGGAACTCCCCTTACCTTCCCTTCCCACCGACCACTTAGTTCTAACTTCCTCGCCTTCCGCGCATTTTAATTCACTCAATATTTAATTATGAAAATCAAAAGGCAGACAAAGATTGGTGCGTGCTTCGCATGGAAGTGGGTTTTCAAAAGGCTTCTTTTCTTTTTTGGCCCCAAGTCGGGCTTTTAAACTAGGGGGCATACTAGCTCGAGGCCCCAACAAATTAGAACAGAATTATCCCACGCATCTCGGATAATGTACGCGAAATACTTGATCGATTGCCAGCGATCTATAGTTTGTTGTACTCGTACTCCAACTGACAACAACAACAACAGCAGCAACAATGATAACAAAAACAACAGCAGACAAGGAGGATCGTCGCAGACAGTCGAGAAAAGCATCAGAAAACAGAAAAGTACGGGGAACAGCAGCTTGGGATCTTCGGATCGTCGATGGCACAACAAATTTCAGCGCGTAGAACGGTAACTTATTTTTTCCTACCCGCTAACTAAGGGGTATGTGGGGTAGTTTAGGCAGGGTCAAATTAAAAAAAATAAAATCCTACTTAAGCAGTCTTTCCTGTCCCTAGTTTCTCTCCGAATGGTAAATTTGAATTATTCCCACATTTAATTGTCTATTTAATAAGATTTATTTAAATTGTTTAAGCAAGGTTTAAATCTTTATAGATAAATAGATCTTAATTTACTTGAACTTAGTAAATAATTCTTTTGATCAAACAGGCTTAAGAAAGTAGAAAATGAAATTTAAAAAAATTTTTTTAACTATAGATTTGGAATATTTATGCAACAAATTTATATCTATCTTTATATTAATCTATCTATCTAAATCTAAACATTTTCATATCTTAAGGTTCTTAAATATTTTACAATCTTACTAGTCTAAAAGCAAGAAACAAAGTTTATATAATAGTATTTAATTATTTCAAAAGTTAGTTTGAAGTTTTTATAATTTTCTAAGAATTTGAATTGGTTTCGAATCGAAACTTTCAATTGAGAACAGCTTAAGAATTGTTGAAGGCCTAGTTTTGGGAACGGGTTCCCCATTTGAGCTTTTGGGACACCTTAAAGGGTCAAAGTTGTTGGCGGTTTGTTTTATAAGAACTCTTATATTTAATTCTTTGGAAAATAAATAATAAAACCATTATGAGAAGCTACACAGAGAACTGCTACAGTTTGTATGCACATATTTAAAACATACAAAATGCAAGATACTAGGATAACAGGTATCCCCCATTCGAGCTCTATCTTCCCGCCCAACTGGGGTCCACTTATTGTCAAGCTGCGCTGAAGCTAAGGAGGGGATTCGGGGAGCTCCAGGGGATGGGGGTGGGGATCCGATCCAGCCAAAGGAGTTGGAGGAGGAGGCTCACACAGCGATGTCTCCAGTTTGGCTGTGATAAAATGTGCGTAAGTGATCAGTTGGAAGACAACGACTCGGAATCGAAGACTCAGACTGAGATTCAGACTGCCACTGCGACTTGGGGTTAAAATTCCTGGACTTGGCGATTCCTGGCGTTTTTTGTGCTGCTGCTGCTGCTGCTGCTGGTGATGTTGCTGTTGCTTTTTCAACTCTCTCGGCACTCGGCAGCATTTTAAAATTACAAGTATGTAATTTTGCTGAAATCAAGCGCTCATATGAAAATTCCACTGGCACTGCAGAAGCTGTCGATCGATCTGGATCGCGATCGGTCGATCTTGCGGCCGCAATTGTGGAGCATTTTTAATTTGTGCCCGAGCTTTGACTTTTGCCAGAGCCTGGAAATCGGAGCAACGGATTCGCGATTGGGTTCGAACTTCGAGTGGCAGTGGAGGCCGGACTGAGCGACCTTATCGCGCCCACTGTGCACAAATGCACAAATGCACACACAAAATGTCAATTCTGCGCACGTCGCTTCACCAGGCATCCCAATCAGTCGTGGCCGGGCCACCACATGCCCCCGATCCCCGCCAGAATCGCATCCCCCTGCCAGGGAGGGGGTGGACGAGCTGCTGGTCAGGCTCCTTTAACTTCTGGCTGGCTTTCTGGCCTGGCAGCTCGTCATCATTATCTCTGCGCTCTGCCAACATCACAAATAATATGAGGAAAGCACAAAAAGGCCAAGACAATCGAGGGCCCAAAGAGCTCGAGAGGACTTCTGGCCTGCAAATAAACTATTTCAATCAATGCGTTTGTCGTCGGGCCATCGATCGCATGCCAAAGGTAGTTAGGCATCCTATAGGATGAGTTGTGGGCTCTTCGATTGGCTTTTTCGAGGTATTTTAGGGTGGGTGGGGATGGAAATGGGCCCAAAGGTGAGAGGCAAACCATAAGTAAAGCAAGGTAACGTACATTTTCTTTGGGAAATTCTACTAAGTTCCTTCGAGTTTATGTTAACGATCAAGTTTAGTCAGTTAAATGATCGATATATAACATTTATCTAAGCGAAGTGATTAACTTCATTTACAAACTGAATTTTTTCATATTTTGAACTTCATTTAAATTCCCGCCATTTTACAACAGACAAAGTACAGTATTTAAACGCCTGATGTCGCTTCCAGTTCTTTAATCAGCCTCCAGATGGCGTCAATTTTTCAAACGTTTTCAAATGGTTTTTGTCTTGACTTATTGGTTGAAAACGTGGATTAAAAATCCACTGCTTAAAGCACACTGCTTTGTAAAGTTGTTTGGCGCCTTTATTCAAAGAAAAGTGGTAATGATTTTTTTGGGTTTTTTTTTTTTTGAATTTCTGGTACTTTCATTTATGACCATAAGTTACCTTTACATGAAGATATTTCGATCACCGATTTAGTGCAAATTTCAAGTCTTTATGGTTTCAGTAATACGTATTAGACTAAACCAAAATATATACAATAATCTCCCAAAAATCATTAATCATTATCTGTGTTTTGAACTTATAACTAAATATAATGGGGAAAACACAGAGATAAAAAGCTTAGCTTAGCCTGATGAAATTTATAATTTAGTCTTTGCAAAATCATGCAAGTTCTCACAGCGGGATTTGTGGTTCTATCCTGCCTATTTATTGGCACTAAAGAAGGATCGGGACACTTGTTTGAACCCAATTGTGGTTTATCAAGGTCTGTCGACGTGTGTTCGCGGGTTTCAGCAGTTGAAAGTGCGCACATATTATCGAACCCATGGATGGTTATGATAATCGGTTCTGAAATATACGGAGGCACCCTTATCAACGCTCGTAAGTATTTTAATTTGCTGTTTAATTCAATTTAATGTTAAGTCTCACTCTTCCAGAATTTGTTCTGACAGCAGCGCATTGCATATCCCGCGAACACATGTAAGTGCAGATATAATACTTATCCATAGACATTTTCCTATATCTTTTTGCAGGAAGGTGCGCTTGGGCGAGTATGAGACGTTGAATCCTAGGGATGATTGCAGTTCGGGGACTTGCATTCCAACGGCCTATGAAATAGATGTCGATAAGAAAATTGTTCCCCGTGATTTTGATGGTTCTAAGAATGATATAGGTCTGCTTCGAATGGCCAAAAGTGTTCAATACTCAGGTAAAGAAATGAGTTAACAAAGAATAGCAATATAATCTAAAAATCTTTTCTTAAGATTATGTCTAGCCGATTTGCCTTATCGTCAATGAGCAAGTGGAATACATTCCATTATTTAACGTCACCAGCTGGGGTCAGTCTGAACATGGTCTCCTGGGCAGTTCCATTCAAGTAACCACCATAGAAAACATTGATCGTCAATATTGCAACCGGAGATTCAAGACTAACAATGATGTATCCCAGATATGTGCTGGAAGACCATCCAATCCGACATGTGTGGGGAGCTCTGGAGGCCCGTTGAGCGCGGAACTAAACTATGGGGGAGTTTCACGCGTCTTCCAGTACGGTGCTATCAGCATTACATCTTTATCTTGCGGAAGCCTAGCAATTTACCCAAATGTCACTTACTTTACAAACTGGATATTGGATGTTGTTATTCATTTTGAAAACTAAAGTTATCCGTACTACTTTTCTTAATTATTAAAAAAGATGCCTATGCCTATACGATATGTCAAGTTTTTTAATCCTATTTTTATTTAAAGCACCCAATATTCATCTGATATCCTTTTGCATATCGTAACTTATGTCATGACTTATAATTATTTTTAATTTCTAACTTAAGCTGGGTCCTCTTAAGCGGTGTACAAATCGTTAAAAAGTCACATACAAGTCAAAAATTGTAAAAAAAATTACGAATTTAAATGGATTGAATATCAAAATAAAAAAGTTTATTATTTGTTGTAATTTTTCGTGTGATTTTTTTTTGATAATTTAATATTCAGTAATTAAATATCAACCAAATTTGAATTTTAATTGTGAAGATAACCTGTCTTACTTTTTGCAACCTTACGGTTTTATTTAAGTCTGGGGATCTCGAAAGATTAAATGCTTGTAGCAAATAAAGTTTTGCTTAAAATTAAATGTTAAATGACCATTGAGTTTTTAAATTTCTTAATTTTAATTTCTTATATAAAAAAGAGCTATTTATAAAAATCAAATTCATCTTAATGTTTCTTATGCTAAAAAAACATTTCAATAAGTCCTGATTTGTGCAAGTACTAGTACTAGCATTTTTTCAGGAAAGTATTTTTCAGTTCATAAATATGGATCCGATGAGATTGGATGACTCGCTGCTTTTATTCTCACGGCCCAATTAATAGGGAAGACTTTTCTAAGCACCAGACCAGGCAGCGAAAACTTTTCGCCGAAGAGCCGACTTTCATTGTCGAATCGCCTGGCATCAGCATTAAATATTATTAATTTCTGTACTCATCAGCACAAGGTGAACAGGGAACGGGGCTCGTTTTCAGTGGAAGTAGAGTCAGAAGCGCAGAAGTAAAGCACAAGAGCACGAGAATCCCCTTTTGGAAAAGAGTTTGGGGTCGTCGAACTGGCTGCATTTAAATGGTGTTAAGTACACTGCAATTAGGTGGAAATCGCTGCAGTTTTCACTAACTGGGTTTTGTGAAAATTGTGGAATTATTTGGAGCGATGAGTCAATAAAAAAGTAATAAATGTATTTTAATTATAGAGTACAAAATACTCATTTATTTAAGTACAAGTAAAATTTTAAGAGTACGCAATTAAATAAAAGAATATAAATGACTATTGACTGGTGAGTTTGGATGATTTTTGGTCTCTTAGAAAAGTCTTTCTTATAAATAGGGGCGTGGGAACAAAACCGGCGAGTCACCCAATCCCATCGACTCGGGTTCATTGCGATCGGGTTCAGATTTAAGGAAGTGCCAAATAAATTGGCTACGCGTCATCGAGATAAGGTGACTGAAATTGTGAGGCGAAGCAAAACAAAACCAAAACGCTCTCTAGAAATCATTGGCCAAAACTCAACTCTCAATTGTGGCCGTGTTTATAAACACAATTTCGTCTGATTTTTCGCATGTGTCAGACAACTCTTTTTGCAGAGTGCAACGAACGGCACTTGAGTTGTGAATTGTGAATTTTGGGCTATTCGTATTTGTTTTGTTTACGCGCATTCGCGGCTTTTGGCCGTCTTATCAGTCGTTTGCCAAAATATATAAATACAACTTGTAGTCACTTCGCGCGTGGTCGTTGTCGACGGGGAGATAAATACGCCTACGATTTCCCTCTGAGAAAAGAGTTGCTATAGATTAAGGAGATAAAAAATCGTTTTATCTTTGGCTAGACTTTCACTAAGTCTGATTTCAATAAGTAAATATGTTGGGTTTACATTAAACAGGTGAAATTTTTTGTATCTTATTGTTATGTACATCTTAACACCTGGGTTGTAGGTGCTAAGTTTCTATTTAACTTGAAAAATAAAGAAATCTTTTTAGATCCTTCAATAGAAAAAAAGAATATGTAGGCCATAAAGAATAAATTATATAAGAGAGTAGGCTATTATAGAACTATGTGAATAAATCCTTAAGATGTTTATCCTTCGTTTTATTAACCAGTAGTTCTGCAATAAACATTCTGATAAGATAAAATCGATCTTGCCTCATTTAAATGGCAGATGTCATCACAGTCCCCAGCTGATAAGCCCTGATCGATATCGGATCTTGGGTAACACAACATCACCCCATAATGCAATCCCCCAAGAACAATAAGGGTGCAGTTGAGGGCATTTTGAAACTCATCGTGCATATATCTTTTGTACGCATAAGGAAGCACTTTTTTGCACAATCTCGATGTAGTCATCGATATCGGTGATATTTCCAATTCGTTGCAATAACTTGACTGATAAGAAGAAAACAGAGAGGCTGTCCTGTCATCGACATCGGAATACCCTCTTATCGTGCAACAGCACACGGGGCGTATGATTAATAAAATCCGAATAAACAAAAGGTAGATACACAGCGAAAAAAGGGGGGCAGCAAGGGGGGGTGAAAAAGAGAGGCACACCTTCGGAAAGTAAACGACAACTTGACCTAAATTTTAGACTCGAAAAACTCAGGAGGCGAGAGTAAAAATGTGAGCAGAAGAGAGCCCCAAGTGACGGAGACAACTTTTACAAATCGCTGCATTTAAATAAACAAAACTACGAGGCGTGCTAATTTTTATGAATTTCATAACATGATTTTAATTTTAATCAGACAACGCTGCGTATTACGTGAAAGCTCTCTGATGCGTTGCGTTTCTCGACTGCGAAGTCACGCATGCGCGCCAAAAATCCACAAAATCCAACTGCACTTCTGTATTTCTAAGGCGAAAAAAATGGGGAGTCTAAACACAAATCGGAGTGGGTAAGGCCCCAAAAATCGGGGGTCGGGGGTTACGAAGTGGATTGCCGGTTTATGCGGGCGTGGTGTTGTTGTTTCTTATGTTTTTTTTTCGTATAGCTCTTCTCCCAAAAAAGCAGAAAGCAAACGAAAATGAAAGCGAGAGCCGAAAAAATAAAAAATAAACGCTGGCTGCGCAGTCGACTTTGTCTTTCTGTTGGTATCTGTGTTTTCTTCAGATTGTGTGGGTGCCTTTTGGGTCTCCCTTTGTGTGACGTCACACGGCCGAGCGAATAACGGTGCATTGGGTTTATTGATGAAATACCCAACGAAATATACAATTCTAATGGAAGGTTCAAATTGAAATACAAATAGATACTACGCAGGAACAAATAATATGCTTTCTTGGAAAACATTTATGGCATATTTATTATTTAGGATCATATTTAATATTTTACTTTAGCAAATCAAAATTTCTTAATTAATAAATTTTTAAAATATTTTTCACTACATAAGTCTAATCTAATAAACTTTATTTTTGAAAACTGTTTCAAATTACACTGAAAAAAATCATTTTTATCCCCTTAAGAAGTCGCAAAAACAAAAAAAAAATTATTGGAACGCTATAATATTAACTCAAAGTCAATAGAAAAATATTTGATATACATATTTTTTAGAACCCAAATAAAAATATCATGTTGCTAGGAAGCTAAAAATCAAATAAATCATTTTTAGCACTAGAAATCTTGATTATCTTTTGAGCTAATATCATATCCGTTTCCAGTAACTTGAGTCGTATCTGCAAAAATCATATACTGATACCCCAAACTCACAGCTAAGGCCCCGAAATGCATATTATTTACGTTTAATGGCCTGGCACTTGGACTTTTTGCCTGCGGCAGTAAAAACAAGAACTTGCCAAGTGAACTGCCTTGCGACGAGAGTAAAAGTGATTGGGAAAAACTTTTGCTTTTTTACCTGATCTTGGCTCTCGCTCTCATCCACAGGTAGTTGTATTTTGCCTTTGCTTTTGCTTTGCTCGTGCTTTGCTCATGCTTTGCTGTTGCTGTTGCTATTGCTTTTGTTGTAAAGACGGCGCAGTAACGGCGACGTCGACGTTTTGGGGCTTTAATGGGGAGCGGTATATGTATGTATGTTCGACTGAGTGTGTGTGTGTGTGTGTGTGTGTGTGTGTGTGTGTGTTACATGCGCTGCCCGCTCATTTTCTTTTTTCTTCGGCTGCGTCGCTGCGCCAAAGACTTTTTCACTTGGCCGCGCGTTCGCGCTTTGTCACAGTTACAATTTACCATTTGTCGGCGACGGACGCGCGCTCTCCGCTTGGCAAAGTCGACGAGTAGTACTGAAAAACCCCATTGAAAATCAAAGAAAAGCTCGCTCAGCTAACGGTTCTTCAGGAGCGTTTCTAACACCATCACCATCACAGCCGCAGATACAAACAGCAAGCCAACAACAGTCGTCGGCCCGTCTCGTATAAAATCTGTTGCATCACTGCTGCGGCACTTCAGTCGTTCGAACGCGTGCGGCCGGAGAAGTGCAGTTAACAAATAAAAAATAAATATACCACTTACTAAATAACAACAACAAAAGATTTGAAAAAAATATAAACGAAGCGAAAATGCTCGGCTGCAGTGAACATTTAGGCAGCCTAAAATGAAGCTTCAAATATAACCAGAGATATTCTAAACAAACATTTCCAAAGACCCACTTACCTCAGTGCAATGCTTTAGGCCTTAAAAATAAAATTCGAAAAATAAATTTAAACTTAAATCTGAACTCTACAAAAAAACATCCAAAATTAACGCGCTACAAGGCATCAAGATTTTACCCTCCTTCGCGCAACTGAAAATG